AATAGAGCCTGGGATAGGAATACGATGAGCACATAGTTGACTTTTGGTGGACTTCTAACTTACCTAAATCTGTGCATCCAAAAACACAGTAACGTCGTCTTTGGCGAAAAGACATTGTAATAAAAATTAAAACCTAGAAATATAGCTAATAAAAATAACTGAAAATATATTTTCTTGAATTTTCAGTTATGTCAAATCCTGCCACCTGTCGCTGACTAAATATAACTAAATAGTGTTTACCATTATATAAAAGGTGGCGCCACTTTCCATACAAACCGTCCTTCTTCTAAGTTTCCACCCCCTGCTTAACACAAAATTTTATAAATGTCACTGTCACTTTAGTTGAAACAGTGATGGACGGCAAAATCTTTAGTGATCTATGGTTTTGCTTCCGAGTGGTGTGTTTTGGTTTTACTTTTCTATCAACGCTCTTGAACAACGTATAAAGTCTTGACTTTGAAGAAACGGACTAGGTAAAAAGCTACCGCAGTTTACCAAAAAGTAAAGTATAGATTGCAATTGTGAACATTTATATCATACTGATAATTATTTCTTTAAAAACACAATCAACTCAAAAATTTATAGATATGCCGAAACGATCACACAAGTAGAATGACAAAGGAATGGGCGAGCTTGACAGGTCGTGTCTTTTAAAAAGTCAAAGTACGATAAAAATTATTACCCTATGTCTATGAATAGAAATGTGTTCTGCAAAGAGTATATAAAGAGTATATGGTGTTCTGTGTGGTTCTGCAAGGTTCTGTAAGTTAGGTTCTGTTATGAATCAATGTCTAATATCTATGGAAAGTATCTTTGTTTTATAGTTGTCTGTGGAATCTATTTCTATTAAAATATTGAGTTAATAAGTTAAATGTTATTGAAAAATTCTTAGAGAACATTAGAGAGTTCCTTCCTAAATAAATACTGATAGGTATAGTACAATTTCATGATATCTAAATACCACTTTGGTATTCAGAATGTCTGAAACATACGGTTAGTATATTTTCTTGTACTTTTTACTTCGTCTTATGTAGCTGGTAAATCTTATTTCTTTCAACTTGTTTCAGAATATTTGTTCAAATTCTTAGTGATAGGCAGTGCTGGAACAGGAAAGTCAAGCCTTCTCAATAATTTTATAGGAAATAAATGTAAGTAAATAATTTACTTCTTGATCATGCTGAAGCCAGTAATGTTTTGGCATAAAGTTTACATATACATAACACTAAAGCTAATACACAAAATATTTTTTATAATTCAAAAATTTAATTTTACCAGTAAGATGATGATCTATGAATCTTTTGTATTTTTAGTTAAAGAAGACAGATGCCATACCATTGGTGTTGAATTTGGATCTAAAATAGTTAACATTGGGGGAAAATCAACGAAGTTACAAATATGGGACACAGCAGGACAAGAAAGATTTCGATCTGTTACACGATCATATTATCGTGGAGCAGCTGGTGCTTTGCTAGTGTATGACATTAGTTCCAGAGACTCATTCAATGCTCTCGCTAACTGGCTCCGAGATGCACGGACATTAGCAAGTCCAAATATAGTAATATTGCTTGTTGGTAACAAGAAAGATATTGAAGAATCTCGTGAAGTAACATTCTCAGAAGCTAGTCAATTTGCCCAGGAAAATGGTTAGTTGTTTACATAAAAAAATTATATGCAAATGCTTTTTAATTATTAAATTAATGACAATACTTTTAATTACAGAGTTAATGTTCCTAGAAACAAGTGCTAAAACAGGGGAGAATGTAGAAGAGGCTTTTTTAAAATGCTCAAAAACCATTCTGGCTAAAATAGAAACTGGTGAATTGGATCCGGAAAGAATAGGTTCTGGTATACAGTATGGTACTGGAACATCAAAAAGATTGTCTCCACCCAAGAGGCCTGTCAGAGCTCCATCGGATTGTGCTTGTCGTGTTTAACTTTCTAGATCTCTTATTTTTTACCCTCCTTTTGTGATAGGCATTTGCATGGCCACAGTGAAGTGTAAATGACACTATTTGAATGCAACTTAGTATTTGTGCAGTGACGACTTGTCCAGATTATACTTATATCTTGTTTAAATTGTAAAAAAAAATTATATGAAAAAGTGATTTCAACTCAAAAGTTTAGAAATTTTTTGGAACTTACCAGCTGGTGTAAAATATGCAGTTTATTTATGAATTACTGATTTTAGCCTTTGGATAAGAACTGTATATGTAAGATGTGTAGATTCATAGTTATTTTGTTATGATTAAAATTTGTTTTAACATCTTATCCCAGAATCTCTTTCAAAAAGATCTCTCTCAAATAATTTCACTTCTTACACAACATGAATTTAAGGAACAATTTTTGTTTATGTTTTTGTTCTTGATTATATTTAGGATAATTTTTATTATGCTGAATGTTAGGTTAAGTTAGCATATAAGCTAGTGACCACAGGCATATATAATATGCACCTTAAATGACTGTAAATGATTTACAATTATATATTTAAGTATGTATTTGTAATCTCATAGAATACACAATAAATCCTAAGAATAATTATAATTTCATGCTTTGCATATGCACGGTTGGTTAATAAATTAGTTAAACAAAGACAATTATCTTTCTATTCATCATCATTATCTCTTCCTAAGTATTGGAGCAGTGGGCGTCCAGTCACCTGCTCGCCCGAACTAATGGTACTATCAGATAAGCCAAAAAATCCAGTTTGCTCTACTACACAATATTTATCTTACTTTTCACAAATATTGTAAACGCGAACGTTTGGATGGATGTTTGTTTGAGAGTATCTTCAGAACAGCTGAACGGATGTCAGTGAAAATTGGCATACATGTAAAATAAAGTCTGGAAGAACACATAGGCTACTAAGTTTTTTTTCTGGGCGACCACTTCAGGAACAATCTAGAATCGTACTGATGGTCCATCTGTCTCACACATGTGTATTCTTAATATAGTCTTATCTGGGTTCTAGGGTTAATAACAATATACTAAGTTATTGAAGTAAATAAAGTTAAAAGAATCTCATTTTTGTTAACCGGTGTTTATTGTTTGTAAAAATTTGAGCAAAAACAAAAAGATAAAATATTTCCATTTGTACATACAAGAAATAAATTTCAGAATAAGTACCATATTTGTAAGATCTTAAATAATAACACTATGAATTTAATAAGATAGGAACAGACATGCCGATGCAACGATACTTCAAACCTAGTTGCTTTATACATAAATTAGTAGTAATAGTTATTTTTTTAGTTCGTTATGTCCATTCCTAACTATGATTTACAAATACAATGTAAAATACAGTGTAAAATTTATTGAATTAAGTTCGATACAACAATTTTATTATTTTAACTAAAAATTTAATTCTCCTTGTTATATTCTTAAACAAAATTTGGTCTGGATTCCTGCCACAATGATTTCGTTACATAGGTTTATATAGTATGTAACTGTTTATCCACAAAACAACACCGTATAATTAAACGCAAAACTGTTCGTTATATAAACGCAACATTAATGAATACAAGTTACTTAACATAAAATGCACCTAATTTATATAACTAGGAACTATAATGGATGTTATTGACATACAGCCAAGTTATACGCTAGGGCAAAAAACTATTGCATAAATTTAGAAAAAAAATCAATCGCCAGTAGCATTTAATATTATTCTCGTACTAAGAATAATGATTATGGCAGAATACAATTAAGATTTACGTCAGAAACGAATTAAAAAAAAGAAAATCCAAAACATAAACAATTCTACAATATGTCCTAGTTCTATCACAGTAAAAACATTAAAACACGCACTTAAGTCTCCTAAAAAAATCAATTCGATTACAAACATTGTTGAAAACAAGTCGATAATTAAATTGATTACCTTAATTAATACAACTAATTAAAATTAAGTTTAATAGAATCCTGACAATCAAAATTTATAATTACGTACAGTTTTATTCGCGATTTAATGATCCTTACGTGGAATGATCGAAATAATGAAGCTAATGAGTGCACTCGGGCAGGTGACGACGCCGTGGCTGAGATTCTCGTGTATTGCTACCGGTACGTGTAGATAACGTCGTGAACATGTTATATCCGACTTAAGGTACCAGACAATGACATATTATATACCGACACAAATTATCTCGTAATAAATTTTGCAATTAGAGACACTTGTGTTCATACAGACATTCGATGTTTACACTGATCATGGGTTTCCGAACCCAAAATTTCCGTTTAAAACATATGTTGTATACTGCTATCTCAGTGTTTTCAAAGATGATGATATAATTTATTCAGAGATTTTGATATCAGAAACCCATGGTGAGTGTATCATGCCTTAGTCTAATCGTCATTTTAGTAACTTTTGTAATTTCTATTTTATCACTTCTAATATAGATTTTACTTTAATTCGATGATTAATTTTTTTTTTCATAAGATGTGATTGAATTTAAAATCAGTTCATACTTAAGTCGGATTTAACTGCACATATATAACTTTTCGAGAATAATAACTATTATATAAAAAGTGTATATCACGCATATAAATAAAAACTATTCAAAAGTGTTACAAATTTCATTGATTCCATTTTATATCGAGTACTTTATAATTTCTAATATAAACTACAATATTTCTCTTCACGACATTTAAATTGTAACATAAAATAATACAACACAATAATATTATTATTCACTGAAAACAAAATAGCCTGGGATTTTCTGCGTGCCGGCAAAGATAACTGACAATTTTTTTTATATTTATTTTTGCTTTTTAATTTACTGGGAAATAAAGTTCGTTTTATTGAATTATGTTTTAAAATCAGTCTTCAAATACTAAATCGAAAAGTGTGTACATCATTTTTTGATTTACTAAAAGAAGTTTAAGCAAGGAAATATAAGTACGTATGGATATTAAGTGAAATATAATATAGATAAGGGTTTTTCTGCCGTTCTTATGTTATTCTTCAATTTGAAATATACAATTAAAAAAAGATGTCATCCATTATAATAAAAATCGTATTTTCTATAAAATATTTTACATTTTAATTTAGTATGCATTATTGTATTTAAGTAACGGGATATGAAAATTATAATTTAAACGAAAATATGTATAATTTTATTAGTCATATCTAAATTGCTTATTAACAAATCATGTGACATCTAGTCACAGTCTCACCGACATCTAAGCAAGCACACAGTTAAAATAACTAAATAACTAATATCTTACTAAATAATTTTGTAACAACACGCTCTGGGGCCTGTACGAGATATCTCGCGATCACTGCAAATACTACGAAGTACTACAAATATTCCACTGAAGCCGACGTATTCTCAACCTAATTACGATGGATTTAAAAACCTTATTCCCTTTTATTATTTCAAACAATCTAGTGCCTTTACAAGTTGCTAAAGCGATAGCAACTGACAATTTTGAATTTAGCCTTTAAATTACACATTTGAATGATTGTTGTACAGAAAAATGGTTCTTTTCATTTAATATCTATATCATAAAGAATGAATTTGTCGAATAAATAATTCTCTATTAATCTATGATAAATCACTCCTAGTAGCTCGCCTGCGCCGATCATTTTACCTTTCACTGATGAAATACTACTCAGAACACAAGGATATTCAGAATTACTTAACGAAAAATATACGCTACAAAAAAAGTTCGGAAAAATTAAAACAACCCATATAAGACTCGAACATAAAATACTTCAAAATATAATCATTCTTATATAACATCGTTTTAATAATCTGGTATTTATATATCAGGCAGTTGTGTCATGCGTCAGATCCGGCTCTGAACGCAAAAGGCCAGTGATTCCGCGCAATTTCGCAATAAAAATATACAAAATATAATCTACGTAGGCACAATGTTAGGGCATGTGTTCGATCTGGTATGGTATGGTGGTGGTGGCGGGTGATGAATGGCGGCTGGTGGATGGTAAGTGATGAGGTTACGCGACGCCGAGGCTCTGGCGGCAGGCGACGGCGGCGACCAGCGCGGCGCCGCGACCGCTACCGTCTTCTGACAACATCAAGTCGAACTGGAACAAATTACATTTTTTACTATAGAAAACAATACGTAATATTTAAAAAAAATACAACAGACTGCGAAGTTAGACGATTTCATAGCGAACTTCGAAAATGTATGGAACTGACGCGCGACAATCATTATTGTCAGTTTTATACATTATTGAAGTTCGCTATGGAATCGCCTCGAAGCGTATGCATTTTGTCTAACCCCGCTGTTATGTCAATCTGGAGTAAAATACGAATGGTATAACTTGGCAATCTCGAAAAAGGAAACAGTTTAGGTAAAAAGAGATCAAAATACTATTGAAGATGGCAAAATTACTAAAACTATCACGTAAAATTTCCACAACCTCGATGAATAGATGTAATATAGAGATAATCCGAATGCGAAACAAGTTGTAAAGCAATACATTATAAAAGGTTTTGGGGAAGAAGGAAGTTGTAAAGGTTTTTTTTTCTCATTTAAAACATTTCCCTGTACCTGATATGTTATTCAAGGTTTATGCACACACGTTCAATATCCTTCCGTCAGCAGAAATAATCAAACAGTACCCTCGGAGAATTTTTTACAGAAAATCGACATTTTTAATGGTCAAATGACCAATACATTTCGTTTCAAGTAACATTTTGATTTTCGTTATAACATTATTTCCTATATAGTTAAATGCATCAATACAAAGTTTTTGGTATTTTCACAGAAATGTGTATGGAATATTAAATAAGCCTCGATAACATTCAGTTGGGGCATTGTACTTCGCTCTGAGGGTCAAGGATCAAATTCCAGTTACCTCGTAGTAGTTTCCTTTATTCGGTTTAACAAATGTGATAAGATAGTTATTATATGAGATAGTTATATGTAAAGGTCACGGACGAACATACGTGAGTATTTAGCCGTGTTTATATATCAGTTTAAAGGTACGGATGTAACATCACATTGAAGTAATAGTAAACAACGTAAAAAAGATTTGACGATTGATCTTAGACTATTTAACAAAAAACTATAGTGTAGAAACGATTAAAAATTAAATCTGTTTTTAATAATAATTACGTGATTCTTTTTAGAAATGATCTTACCATAAAAATTCTGTTTTCTTCTTTTGTACGTTACCGGATTTAAAAAAAGAATAAAAAACATAATAGTCAATGTTCATATGGTTATGACATTGGTTGGTTAGGATCAAATTCCAATTAGATAAACTCCCGCAAGTTAAAAGTCAATTTGCTATAACTATAGATATAAAATAATATGAAAATCGGACAACCAGGAGCGAAGCAACAAATATTATAAAAAAAACATAAAGACGAATTGAGAACCTCCTTTTTGAAGTCGGATAAAAACAGAAGAAAAAATTACAAAGGCTAGACTAAATAAATTCGAACTTTAATCACATAGATTGATATGAACAAAATAAACTCACTTTTACCATCTAATAATATAATATTATTAGAAGAATAGACAATCTATTATACTGGAATTACTAAAGGTCAGTACAATCTTCTCGTTTATTAAATGAAAAAAAAAATGATATGTACGAAACACGATTGTCGTATTACGTCATGGAGGTGTGTACCAAAAGGTTGACGGATCTGATTTTCAATAATAATACTTATTATATTGTTATTAAGTGATAAATTTACTTGGTCTCTGTTATACATTATCAAATGAACATTGAACTCATTGTTTATTGTAAGGGGGCTCGTCTTCGATACATTTATCAACAACGATAACATGTTTAAGGCAAATATAAATGTGTATTATAATATGTATTGTTATCTCATGTTTCTTAGAAAGAATGAGGGTGATGACGATATGTTTTGCTAGTGGAAACATGAGTTTTTAATATGTAAGGCGCTGTACTTATTTTTATATGAACCGCAATGTTCATAGTGAATTAATTAATTATGTATATTACGGTTGATCTAGAGATATGTTGACTAGAATTTGAGTTTGTCTTGTTCGTGTTATTCATGTCATATTTGTTGACTGCGAAGCCGGTTCTAAGCACATTTAAAAGTAAACTGACTGCTTTATTCAGCAATGCGGATATATTTTCTATGAAATTTTAATCTCTTATTATCATAATATGTAGATATTTTAGTGCACTTTAATGACATGAAGTGTTTGATAATACCACATACAATATGGATTTATTTCAGGATAATTAAATTGTTAAGAGAGTACGTTAGCCCAAAATGTCATTATGTTTAAAAATAGGGTATTGACAGACAGACGGACAACAAAGTGATCCTATAAGGTTCCGTTTTTTTCCTTTCGAGTTACGGAACCCTAATAAGAGTAATGACCGCATGCATTACACAGAGAGAGACATTTGTATTAACACATGAGAGTGTAAGGGAAGAGGTGTAGTGTGGTGCGGGCGACTCACGTGTATGCCGGGGCTGACGAGCTGCGCGATCTTGTCGCACATGAGCGTGTGGAAGTGCGGGTGGAAGCGGTAGACGGAGCCGTCGATGCCGACAGTGACGCGCGGCTCCTTCATCTTGTTGAGCAGCGTGGCGATGCCGGCGGACACGAGGTGAGCCGCGCGCCGCGACACGCTCTCGCACACGTGCCGCACGCCCGCCATGTCCGCTTCCGTCGCGTGCGACAGACCTACACACATACATACATATCTTACTAATATTATAAAATCTAATGTTTGGATGGATAGACGTTTGTATGAAAAGATTTGCACGGTGCTTGGATTTCGCTGAAATTTGGCACAGACGTAGAAAATAGTGGGTGAACATATAGGCGACAATTTCTTTTTAATACTACGCGAGTGGAGTCTTCTTTCTTGCTTGAGGTTGCTTTAATATTTCATTTTAAGTAGTAGTTAAGTGGATTAAGTTTGTTGGTAAACATTACGTGACGCATTATTTGAAATAATTGACACAATTTTTATAAGTGTGTTTGAATTTCTTAATCAAATACACATCCAATGATGCAAACAAATTACAACGTATTTATTTTTTATTCCATTAATCAATTTAGTAATAATAATTGAGATATCATCAACTTTTAATTGACCTCTATAAATGTTTTGCTAATGAAAAGTAAATATTTTGGTAAGCAGTTGTTTTGTTTGAATGAATGAAATGTGGACGTGATTATTAAAAATTTTATGTTTTTCAATACGAGTAGTTTTAACGTAAATCCAGTTTAAACTGGACCATATCCGGATTTTTTAAATTGCATTGTGATAATTTGCTTCTTATATGAAGGTCGTTTGAATGTTTTGTATAACAAGATTCAAAATTTATAACCTGGTGAGCTGCGAGCGTTTACCGTGGGTGGCAAGAATGGATGCCTTTTACGCCAATATCGAGCCGTCGTAAAATTTGATTGATACTATACACGTCGAAACTATGTTTTTCATTTCAAAATTATAGATTTCCTTACAAGTATGATGTAATAAAGTGCGTATGACATTACGTTCAAAGTGTTATATAACAATATCGATTGTATAGTTGATTGCGTTTCGACACAAATTCAGTGTAACGTTACGTACAAATCAACAATTACGTCAGTAACTCTTGTAGTGCGTTATAATTTTTTTTTCGATTTATTAATTATTAACAGTTGACTTGTTCCGGGCGGAAATTAAGAAAAAAATAGTATAATAATAAATATAGCTTTTGTCACTCTTGGATACAATAGTTACGGAGCCTATACAAACAATTAAATCTTTAAACCTTTAGTTATCTCTTACCTAGTTCTTCGAGTACTTCCATACAGCTAGTATAGTCTCCCAACTTGTCGGATTCAATTTCCGAGACATATTTAGTGTAGAAGCTGCCTCTCTCGAACAGCATATCTGAGCCTTGTCCTCCGAACAACAGGCCCATGCGTGTGAACTTCACCAGCGCCAATCTGACCAGCTCGCCCATGTACATTCCAGATATCATCTTCTCTTGTCTGTAACAATATCATTAATCATTTTTAATTCTTATCGTAAACTGATAATTGCCATTTTAAAAATCTTATCTTAAACACCACTTCGCATTAACTGTCATGTTTTTTGATTAATCTACTAATTTTTATGGTTCTGTAGCTCATATGAAAAAAACGGAACCCTTATAGGATCCCTTTGTTGCCCGTCCGTCTGTCTGTCAAGACCCTTTTTCTCAAAAACGCGTGTAACTATCAAGCTGGAATTTATATCAAATACTCAGTACTGCGGTCGCTTATTTTTTTTAATTTTGTGGTTTGTTGAAAAACTGTATTTTACCTCTATAGTTATAGTAGAGCTTTGTAATAAATGTCGAAAGAAAAAAAAACAAACTTCTAAACTTTTTAGGCTATATTATGTATTTTTATCAGAAATTAATTAAGAAGGTCATATACTCAGACGGCCTTCAAAGCTGATAAAGTTTAGTATTTTTATATTTTTTTTACAAATTATTTAAGGAAATTTATGCTTTTGGATCATTTGGCACAATAGCCTAATATTTGATAAAAACATATCAAGATGTTTATGAATCACGTCAAAATATATATAAAACATTTTCCAATTGCTATGCTGCAGAGGAGAGGACGCATAGAATGAAAATATTTTACCTTCCTATGCGTCACTTCCATGGCAATAACCTCCCTAATAAACCACCCTGTAAGTTTTAAAGTAGCAGTAAGGAATTATTTATTATTTTATAAGTAACTAGTGTAAGAATTTTATGATTTTAATAAAGAATCCAAAAGTGTCTGGCCACAACATGCCAGGGGGAGCAGCAGGGCGGCATAGCACCGCCCCAAAAAAAAAATAACCTACCGTGCCCATCCATTTTAAAATAAGGCCTACGACACCCAGTGATCAGACGAAATGCGGAATTACTTCCACTTGACACCTGTATAGTGCGGTTGTAGTATTATACTGGTCCAGACGGCTTTTTTTGTTTAAAATATATTATCTCTCTACCAGTGTCATGTTGTTTGTCAGTTTAAGTGATTTGTTTCATTGTAATAATCAGTACTATTGTAGACATTCGCAATGGCGTGAATTACGATAAGCAATCTTATCGACGGCGAATTCTTGCTAAGATGACGCACTAAATGATGAAATACATCGTACAATCATGATAATATGACATGACAATGCAGTAAATTATAAAAACCTAAATTTGACAATAAAAAATGTAGGTAGACAAATTCGCGGGAAACAGTGTTGTGCGACAATCGTGATATTTGGATCGATATGTAAAAACTAACTTTTGTAACAAAATTTACAAATCTAATACAAAATATTTAAACAATATAGCATTCCAAATAAACGCCTTAACACACAAACATTACTTTCCATATATTGTCGCCATTATATTTACAATTTCATATTTTCAATATATTGAAATTTTCACTAAACTGTCACATATTGTGACATGTGATATAATCATTTGAAAAAATATGTTAACTATTAGATAATGAACACATGAAAATTTAAAGAGAGGACATCTTTTGAAATATACGAGTTTTAACATAAAATATGCGTCGTATTTATTTATAAGCAGACTAGCTGTTGCCTGTAACTTAATCTGCGCGTAAAAAAAAATAAGTAGCCTAAATATTCTTCTATACTATGCTTTACATGTGTGTCAAATTTCGTCAAGATCCGGAGATACCTTTTAACAAACACCCATTCATCCAAACATTTATAATATTAGTAAGATGTGTGTATGGGACTTACATTTGTTTTCCTGGGTTAATGGAGTTGACATCCACGTCTCTGTCGAACTCGGTGCGTACGAAGTCAAGTGTTCCATCGTCACCGAATGCACCCCATTCTGTGTTAATAAGAAGATCTGGTTTGCCCGGCTCGCCGTCAAACAATTCGCAATTTTCCGTCTTCTCTACATAGCACGCGTTACTTCCAGTACCTATTTATAAAATAAACTATATTCTCTCTAAACAAAAATAAACTCTAAATAAACGATATTTCTAGTCTATGGTGACACTTTTCTTCGCATACATTTTTTTTTCAAGATGGCAACTAAGCAAGCGGACAAATGATCGCTAAATGACCTTGACAATAAATATCTGTTTTAAATTTAAAAAAAATATCAGCTTCTCAGAGATATTTGCTGGGATTCTTGGAGGAGTTAAAATAATTGTTAATAAAATTTAGTAACATGCAAAAAATTTAAAATTATGAAATGTTTTAAATGCAGTGAATACACAATACAATGGTGATAAATATTTATCTATACTTATGTTTATATAAATGTACGTTTACAAAAAAAACTTACAGCAAAGATAGTTTTATTTATATAATAATTATCACAAGTCGTAAATAATTACTATAATAATTATTTTAAATTATGTAGTCATATTATTTGTAGCATCTATATACTATAAAATTAATATAGAAATTAATATAAGTTAAATAAAAAAATTGTTGACTTCTTTTGTTGTTCTTTTTTAAAGACACAATTCAAACAAAAATGATTCCTACGTCTATTAAAATAAGGCCTACACTAATGAAAATACATATACAAACATAGGAATGTGCGATTTAAATGTTATGTAATGAATTAGAAGAAATTCTTAAATGTTATCACACAACTCGCATGAGCAAACGAAAGATTAGTATGGACAAGCAAATAAAAGAATAAAGCAAAACCGACATAGATTATTATAGACAAGCGAAGCACAAAATACACCAAAACCGACATAGAATTATATAGTAAACCGACATAATCAATTATAAACCTACCAACAATGAGTCCTATTTTGCAGTTGTGATTTTTCCACGCACAAGACATCAATGTGCCAGTTGTGTCATTGAGGATAGCGCATATATCGATCTGTACGTCCTACAAGAGTGAGAAAACATGCGGTTTTAATAAGAAATAGTCGTCATTCCAGTCCCTACGATATGATATACCCGCGATATGTTGATGATGATTATAGAGGATTTCAATATAAAAACATATCATGTTCAGAAAACTTACGAGAAATTAGATTTGTATCTGGCAACACCAAAAAATACTATTAAATTTATTTAATTAAATATAATTTTGCAACATTTCATCACGCGATAATAAAAAAAATACGACATATGGTTCTTTTAACAATTTTCTCTATACGTCGAATTGATTAAGATTACATCAAAGTTTATAACGAAAAAAAAAACGATACAAATATTTCAAGGTTAGAATCGTAAAACCAGTTCGATATTTAAATTTACCAGAAACAAAAGAGATTTATTACATTTTTTTAAACATGATATGCTTTAATTGAAAATATATTATTGAAAGCCTCTATTGGCTCTCATATCGGCTCCAAATAACATGCCTTATGCTAAGAGAGAGCGGTTATCATCGTCAACTCACCGATTATAATTCCTATGCGACAATAGGGGTCCTTATGTGCGCACGACATAAGAGCCCCGCTTGCATCGTTAAGAATGCCCGTCACGGACAACGAAAGGTCCTGTAAAAATTCTGACCCCCTTATTTCCAAAATTTTCTAATTGTATATCAATACAATACAAAAAAATATTTGTAATAATTATCAGAGGTATTCCATTTCGTACATATCAAAACTTTTGCAATCCGAATTTAAAAAAAAATGTAATCAACATCACCCGGCGCTTGATTTGGCACGTTGGACAGAAGAATACCCTACATTCTTGCGTGCTAAATCAAATGACGGATATAAGGGAAATTAAACATCTTCACGGTTCGGAACATCGCAAAAGTACACCAAATGGGGGAGGAGCACTCGAGGTGCCAAAAATATTGAGGCGACTACTACATCCGTTATTAACACTTTCAATGCCACTAGGATTTTACGTTGATGGCACTGAATGTACAAAAGCTAATGTTACATACCCCTCGTCTCGCTATGGCGTCTTTAAGGCCTTGGACAACATCTTCGCCGACCACACCGCTGCAGGAGAAACCTTTGGTCCAACGCTGAAGGATGCCCTTAGTGAGACCCAGCTGTTTTAGCGGGAAGCTGAATGTGAAACCAAGGGCTAGACGTTCCTCGTACACGTTGTGTTCCTTTAAAAAAATACAGCAATTAAAAATGCTAAATTTTTATGATAAATCTGCCTTTAAATTTTCTACGTCTTGTTCTTTAGGGTCCACTATAAATTACGTCATACATCATGGGGGTGGGAGGTGTCAAAAAATCATGAAATCCATGTGACGTAAATATTAAACAATAATTATTTATATTTAAATCTCTTGTATTACAAAGTATGCAAAATAATATTGAGTGTTACCTTCATGAAATTAGCCAGACATTCGGCGATATGATCGAACAGCGCCACACCAGTGCCGGTCATTATGTGGCTGGGAATGGCGTAAATCTTCGACTGCATATCGAAATGGTTCTCTCCAAGATTTATAATTAACACTCTAAAATTTGTACCTCCTAAATCTAACGCCAAAAATTTACCTCTTTCTGAAAATAAACATACATAGTTAAATAAAAATATATTAATTAAGTGTGACCCTTTTTTATGCCTAAAAAAAGGGTCTTGACAAACAGACGGACGAACAACAAAGTGATCCTATAAGTGTTCCGTTTTTTTCATATTAGGTACTGAACCCTAACTAGTGTATTATTTAAATATGTTTATCAAGTAATTACTTAAGTTTACAGAATTTATAGGTTGTAAATGGGCCTACAAAAGTTTCAGTTTGAAGGTGTGAGAAAGTATAAACTGATTTACGATATTGCTTTTAGTTAAAATAAATACAATTGAATAGCAAAAAACGTATTAAGGTAAATTTACCTCCTAAAACGCGTCATTACTCATCATTTTAATGACACAGCAACAGTTTATGTAAAGACATGCTCAAGCGTATAATTTTTTTATCATTTTTTGTACTCTCATCATTACGTATCTCTTGGCAAATTTTTTTTTGAAAATTTTAGAAGGAATTGCTTAATTTAGCAAACAAAAATAGCAATTTTATTAAAAATTAATGTTAGCGTGGATTTCCACTGTCGAAACACATGTATAAAACATTTTTATTTCTGTTTTTCATTGAAAATGTGACATGACAATATGAGTTTTGGCAGTGGATACCCTGATAACAAATTACAATCCGAAAATTTACAAGTCTAATGAGTCCTTGAAATTTGCTAAAAAAAGAAACATTAATATACTAACGTGCATTACGATAAAGAGATAATGTAATATTTATTTGGTCTCAATTTTCAAGTAGGCCTCGACGGGCAGGAAGTCATAAACATTTCCGAGGCCGTCGTGAAATTATATTCCTTGGCTTATAAGATATAATAATTACCTTTGCCATTTGGTAAATCTTGTATATATGTTATCCAACATTTGACGATAGATGTGGCGTGGCTGTCTTTTCCCAGTCCTTTGAGCAGGTCGTTGTGTAGTCTGCTCATTATCTCCCTGATCTGCTTATCCGTCAGGTGAAAGACCTCGCATTCTTCGCGGATCTGTGCCATCAAAAAAATAGATAAATTAATGGTTTATAGTAATAGCTTTATAAACTTATAACAAACTGTATGGATAGAATTACGATAAAAAATAATTCAAGGTTTAGTAAAATTGTACCTACTTAAAGACATCACTTTCTTTATGTTTTTGTCCGTATTAATTTAGAAATGTTTTATTATTTAATGAAAATCGTATTAATATAAAATCGCCACTTTAAACATCTAGTAAAAGTCCTTACTTTTAACAGTAAAAGATTTTGTTTTCGTAATGTTAATTAAATTGAAATTCTTGCTACAGTATACGGCATGTTAATTCAATTGACCCAAAAATATGTAAACTTTAGTCATAAAAAGCAAAAAGTATTTGGATAAAATTGTTTGGGGAGCCGACCATTGATTTACAATTACAAAGATATCAAATATATTATAGTATGCGAAAGTCAAGGCGGTCCAAACAAATGCAATTTCCTTACCCACAAACTAGGTATAGCGTAGCGGGCAAATCGTCTATTATCGCGAACGAGTTCTGAAGGTCAAAGCGGTCATTACTAACTCTCTACTATACATTGCTTATGGTTGCTTTCCCATCAATACAAAACCGGCAAACACTTTAAGAAAAAATTATGTAACACTGTATTATGCAGTACTCACCTGTGGTAAGTTATTAACGGCCATACCCATTTTAATTATTGGATTAAAAAAATTATACCGGATTAATATACACTACACGTTTTGTCGTCTACAACGCGAGTACGACTAACCGAATCAACTATAAAATGAGGAATACGAATAAAGCGGCGTTGACCGTCGCACTCGAACGTGTTTCAAACTGAACTGACTAACGCGCACGTTTCATTCATGATAATAAACTGTTGTCATCCCTTTCGTGTGCACCGACAACGTATGTGCAAGAGTAGTGTAGCTAGTTGTCTAACTTAAATAACGGAAAATATATTAAACTATTATCCGTCTAACGTTTCTATTTACCTTTCTAATAAGAATGTATTCAGTATTTTAAGGTGTTGTCGATGCAAATTTTTGATTTTGGGGTTTAGTAAGCGATGGCGTATATCAGTTGCATATCTGTATTTCCTCAGGCGCGCCTCTTGGTGTATGGATGTGATTGGCTGACGCGTGGGCTTGTTCCTGACGTCAGCAGAATTCCTCGAGTCGACGTTTTCTATATTTACAATTGCATCAGTGTGGGACCAAATAATTATGTACCGATTTCTGACTTTAAAATGTTTTATCAACACGAACCTATATATTTGATAGTTTCTAGTAGAAATGATCCGAAGAGACGACTGTTTTAGAATGAGAAATCTATTGACTCAATGGTTAACTATGTAGGTTAGTACTAAAAATCGATGTTTTCATATTAATTAGTTAGGTTAAAAAGAGTAAACAACATTTAACATAGTTACGGTAAATGTGAACAGGAAAGTTTTAATTACGTAAAACATTGACCTCTAGTAGTACTATTTGTAGGTAACGCGCAGGCGCAGGCTACTCGGTATGCACTGTGTACGAGCAACCAGTCAAACCATACTGAGTTAGACAGGATGCAATGACCTGTGACGTCAAGGCCGACGATGTCATTTTATTCCAAGAACCGATGCAGTAGTCTACATTATTAACTTACTTGTCTTAAATAAATAAATTTGTATCTTTTCCTCCAAAAGATAAGTTTTTATCCAAGTGATTCCGAAGCAGGAAAATATTTAAACCGACTTCGAATAGACAGAGGTTCTTAATAATTAATCCGAATGTTTTTTTTTTGTTTTTTATTTTCGCTCGTATGTGTCTGTATGTAAATCTGTTCTAGTGAGCTATCACAGACAGTTTTATTAAATTTGAAATTATTCAAAGACCTGAGAGGCCTACAGTTTTACATGTAACATGATGGATCTTTTGTAGACACTTGTACAAAAGATTTTTGTCTAAAATCCAGATAGTGATTTTGAATTAAAATGTAAAAGACGCAAAACTTATTGCAAGTAGGTAAATTTCCTATTGAATTCTAATCATTTATTGCGCAATAACAGGAAAACTTTCTTTGATAAAGTTTATGGTTTGTATCGATAGAAACCTGTATTTGTGAATCATAAAAGGCGATATGTAAAGTTTTATTTTCGTACAACTCGTGCGGAGGATAAACGCACTTCAGAACACTTTCTTGGCATTGTTCCTTGTACGTCTTGTTTATTTTCGTTCGTCTCGTGATGGCGACGCGATGTTTAAAAATCAAAACATCCACAATATTACTATTGAAAATCTATTACTTTATCATATTAAAATGTAATTTTTGTATTTAATATCCACGGTATTGTGGAATCGCACTGTTACTTGAATACAGAGATGTCCAAACATTTTTAAAATATTACTTTCGATTAACCTATTATGTGGGTGATTATTATTACTGACCGTTTTACATTCTCAATCTTTAAGACGAAATTGTTTTAAAATATACACCTACAAATGTTTTTGTTAGCAGCCTTAAATCATCTACAGCAGGAAAACGTATACTTATTAATGGGGAATGGGAAATATCACAATTATCCTGACTCAAGAACCTACGATAGTAGTTCGGTAGTAGTCTCAAGCGAATGCGCTTTTCAGATGCGGTGTCAAGATTGTAAGTTGCTTAATGATCGCCACGCATCGAAAGAAGATGAAGACGGAGAAGATGAAGATGAAGAAAAATGCATAATGAATATAAGCACTTTCGCAGACCTGCATAGATCCTAAATGTGACCAGTGTATTTTTGTTAGATGCAGAGTTATGCAAGTACCTTACAATATAATGTCTCTGCTTTCCCTTCTTCGTCATAGTTGAGTTTATTTTAACTAAATACAATCCGTATTCTAATTGTTACAATGTTTAGTTATTTGCATAGGCTGAATTTTATGTCTCTAACAAAACAGATATTAAGAATGATAGCAGACATTCCCAAAATCTGTACGTAGCAGACAGTTTTATCGCACTACTTTAAGTTCGAGTATATAGATAAAAACGGCGAATCGCTTTTTAGATATCGTTATTTGCGTGCATTCACTGATAAATCGCTATCTCAAAAGGCAATCAATTAGAAACTTTCCATTGCAATTGCTAAAAAGATAGGATTAATATATAAGACTATGCATGCATATTATCTCTTGTTTTTTTATAAAAAAAATATTATCTTTTATGAAAAATGAACCAGATATTGTTGTAATATTTAAGACTGGTAATGTCACATTAACTGAGGGTTTCTGAGACGAAAATCCCCGTTTAAAAATTATTATCTCAAACATGTCAAAGATGACAGGTGACAATTCTTTGATACAGTGTTGCAAGTTTGTATCATAAGCATTTTATATACTCTTTGTCATAAGTGATATGTAAATATTATAAAAAATAATAAATATATCGTGCACCAGACCTTTACGCTTTACAACTTATTTAAATACTAGTTATACATGGATAAAGTCATGTATTTTGAATTAATTTCCGTTGGTAAATACGTGGTTGTCAAATTATCAAATCGTTTAAATTACTGGTTATATCCAGTATAATAATGTGTTATCGTTTATGACACAACGAATTAAATTAAGACGAGTTTAAACTTCAAAATGTCAATTTTAAACTTTTCGACATTGTTTTGATTTTAAATGCCATTCTATTAATATTAACTAATTTAACGTTTTCGTTAATTTAATAAAGGCCGTGTAACATCCTAATCAGGATTAAATTGCACAACAATGTAATCAAAGCTAGGTTCATTTTTTTCAGGATTAAAAAAAAAACGATCTACCTACATGCTGTTCAATAAATCTTTGGTTGAACTTTTATGATAACATTGTAACCCTAAGGATTTCAACACAAGTAACTATAAGCTTTCATAAATCAATCTCACATTGTGCCATTTCATTCAAGAAGCATGCTTTAGCTTTATAGATAAAAAATGGAGGTGGGTACTTTACAAACAAGGTGCTCAATCACCAATGTTTAATTTTAATTGCATTAAAATGGTTCGTAATTGTAAAGTCAGTATTTATATATAAATTCAGTCAATCATTGATCGGACCGGTCTAATTACATTATACAAGTTAGCGTATGATTCAAGGTAGCAGACATAATGTGTATGGATTTACACCTTTGTGTCAATTACTACATTTATAACATTATTGAGAAATATAACTTGCTTCTATTGGAAATTTTTCGTATGCTAGTTTTAACAAATATTTGAGATTATGATACTCACGATGTCCCTCGCTTGACGCATATCGATTCGTCTTGTTAGTCGCGACGATCGAGATAAAAGATGATGAACAAGTAGCGTTGGCGTCCACAGGGTGCTGTCATAAATTCCACCGGGCACAGAGACACGGCCGATATCCGTGTTCGCACGAATACCGGTATATCCGAGACCGTTTGCTCGTGCACAAGTGAAAGGAACCGATTAACGTGCGACGCGGCGTCGGTCGGACACTTGCACGGCGAGCACAGGGTCACCTTGAGACGACGCGGTCGCGGCGCATGTGCACCACACCCTCCGCTCCGGCCGCGCTATCCGCGCCCCTCGCACCCCGGCGCCCGCACGGCCCCGCACGCCGTGTGACGTCACGCCCGGCCCCCGAATCGAACCGGCGGCGCGGCGCGTTCTTGCCGTTCACGTGATGCCCTTCACGCAATCCACGTTCAAATAACGCAACAGCTGTGAATGCCTTATGAAATGCACCGATTGGAATTTATCCTTACTTTCGAAAATATTTTTAATTTTTGAAGCACAGTCGGTGTATCTAAATTTAGAAGTCCCAAGCAATTCATGATCTCAACTTATTCTGATTTCTACCTATGATATCGTTATTACTAAAGATTATGTGTGTAAGGTAGTGTTAATAAGAGTTTTCTTGTCGTAGGAATTGGTGAAATTGCGCCTGTATAGTATAGTGCATGCGAAAATGCAATGTAAAAGTTTGTTTTTTGTCTTTAAATTCTGCTTAGGTTGAATGGATCAAAAGTTCAATAGGAATAGGCATTATGTCCTAATTTCTTATGTTTTCAACTAAAGTTTCTTTTCTTATTTAGGATAGAAAACCAAAAGTATTGAGTAAATTTGAATTCAGTCATTAAATTGATAAGACAGACGCGGGTTTCTGAGAAAAGGTTATATACAACTAAAAGTTTATATGTATTTGGAATAGGCTAGGTGAGGTGTGTCACTGCCTGCCGACGTGCCTCCGAACATGTATTGTGATGCATGATACCAAACACGTGTACAGTCTCCAAATATTATATGACTTGCTTAATATACGTGCTTTCATTTAATTCAAGTATTGCTTTACACTAAGATAATACCGAGACTTAAATCAATATTGTTGTCACATTTAATGATTTTAACCTTGTTTTATACATAGTTATTATTGTAAAAACCGGTTTTGATGCTAAATCATTTTTTTTCCTTTAATCCAATAAGCAGTAAAATAGTTTTATTTTATTTAAAAGCAATACCAAAGGAAAGTATAAGTTACTTTTTAGTTTCTTTTCTCATATTTTGCTATTTTTGTCCGATAAAGCGATAAAAACATAGAAAGCTGCTTTCTACTGAATTCTTGTACGACTAGACAGTCCTGATATGGGCTGCAGTAATCAATTTAACTTAGTTATCGAAGCCATATCAATAGAACTGAGATATCGAAACCACATTTATGTTTTTTCATGAAGCGTCAGACATTTTACTTGTCGAATTCTAAAAAGAAATCTATTCCAAATTGTTGGAAAAACGCAAATTTTACCAATGAATTTGTTTGATAAGCTATTCATCAATCATTTTTTTGCGTAGGCAAATTACAAATGTGCGAAGTTCACCATTTTTGGTGATTTAAATTGCGGAGTGGTTTTATTGGTACAATTTTATACTTCGCATCGGCACAAATGCAAATTTGATCGTTATCAAATTCGGAGTTTATTAGTTCGAGGTATTATTGATTACACTATTAGTACCAATAATATAAATCCTATCATAAAGAAATAAATAACAATTACTCATCGATGTCGTATTCGGGGCTTTATAAAGTGCTTAATTCTTTTACTAATGGAAATGTTTTAAATAATGATAAAATTAATCGGATATTTCTATTTCAATAAACATACATCAACGATGGCCATTCTGAATTGTATTTTGATTATAACCTTCTTTGAGGTTATAAAGATTAAGTGATACAATAGCAAAAAAATCATTCAATTCTACCCAATATTACTTTTTATCTTGAAAAAAAGTATTCTTAAGTATTTTTAAATGTAAATATCCACAATACAATAACAAAGAAACCAAAACTACGGTGCACTATTGATTCTGGACAGATTTTTGACAGATTATTTTTAATTTACAGATTAAACATTGGTTATATTGCGTGCAATATTGAATATACTTATAGAGGATAGTGTGTAAGAACCTGTCAGGAACGATATCGACCTTGTTAACGGTTACTACAAAAATATATACCTCATAGTACATGAGTCATTTGGGTTTATATGCATAAAATAACTTGTCCCGCAAACTGTACTGATTGTTATTGACGTAAGTACACAAGTGTCTTAATATTTAAATTGTCCTGTATATCCAATTGTCTATCCACTTCAATAAATTCTGAGAACTCATTAGTCGTGCGTTTTCAGTGTGTGCAACTGTGTGTATAACTGCGTATGCAACTAGCAATATTATATGTAAACTGATATGTGCATTCTATGAATGAGATCATCTTAATCAATTTTTTTCTTTTTAATCTTTTATTGTAATGGACGCAATATATTCTCCTTCTTGTATATGTTATCAACATAAAAATCTGTATTTTGTGGCCATTTTTTTAATTGTGTAAGACAGTAGCAAAGAGGATTATATCATAAAAAATATTTTTTCAATCTTACTCTATCGAAAAAACAAACCTGACAATACGCTTTTTTTACATATGTTTAAGCACTGGAAACCCACAACACGTGTAATATTAGAACTAGCCTCGTTCGAAGTAAAATAAATAATTTCGTGTACTCCGAGTGCATTCAACTTTGATGACACATGCTTTTGCATGTGATAAATTTATTGTATTTTAAACTTGTGGTATCCCGCGGCTTCGTCAGTGTGGAATTAAAAAAATAGGCTAAGTTACTTTCGCATATATTAGACGCCTTGTGGTAATAGCCCCGTCAAAATCGGTTTAGCTGTTTGGGAGATTACCTAGACAGACTTTTGGACTTTCGTTATAAACAACGCAAATACATTTCTTTCACGTTTTTCAATACTTCATACAAACATTCCAATTTTATAATTGTATAGATTACGTTTTATTTAATTTATTTAATATAATGTTTACCTGATGCTAACACACTTCTTTACGAGCACGTGATTTTTTCTACATAGAGGGATCACGTGTCAATCAAGGTAAAAAAAAAATAGTAGATGAATGAATCATGAAATTATTTATTGTTAATTTATTAACTTACATTTATTTTGTTTGCAAAGATTTTAACGACAATAATTTATCTATTTACGGAACGAGACTTTAGTTTTGGCAATGGTTTTATTTTTTTATTACGTTTTAAAAAACATTCTGTATTATGCTCAATGCATTTTCCCGCCTGTTTTTTCAAATTTAAATTATACCATGAATATTTACCAATCATTGATACAAATTTATTAACATCTTAACTTTTTCACAGTTTTCTCAGTAGTCTCTTCCGGACACTTTTGACAAAAAAATCATAATTGAAGTTAAGCTCTTTTAATCTACATATTTGTAAAGTAATATACCGAATGAGCAGACTATATTAAACGCCTCGAAACAACACAATTTCCTCAAGCTAGCTGGGGATTTACGGCTCTAGTTTACACGTGCGTAATGCTTATTGATGTAAATACGAAGTAGGGTAGTAGTACCATAATATTATATATGAAAAAAAAACTATAAAAAAGAAAAACAATTATTGAATTTTGTAATCTTCAAATGTATTTATTCTGCGAAGTAATAAAAAAATTAAATGATAACAGATGTAAAATGTCAGTTGCAAGGGAAGCCTGATTACCAGCTTTTACAATAGTAGAAATTTACAAAGTTTGTGGAAAATGACATAGGCAAGCAATGAAGACACCACAACAACCTTGTAATATAGGTATTTTGTATGAGAAATTGCCGGTAATTTATAAAGCAATGAAAAACTTAAAAACCCACAGATAACTAATGTTTAAAATATCAAGCCGTATTCAAGAACGTTACTTATAACGAAAAACAAACAAAATGGTTTTGTCACATCAAAACTTCCCGCCTCTTTTGACAATTTTTTCATACCTTCGGATGGAGTGATGTCTTTGAACGAGGTTGCATGCATTTCAAACTAGGACAAAACCAAGAGAGGCTAACCGTGCTGCCACCCTATAAAAAAGTTTACTCGGTAGTTTTTAATTTGTTACATCTTACTAATCTTACTTCTAACTAATATTATAAATGCGCGTGTTTAGATAGATGGATAGATGAATGTTTGTTTGAAGATAACTCCAGAACAGCTGGATGGATCTTGCTGGTATTTGGCATAGATGTAGAACATAATCTGGAAGAACACATAGACTGTTAATAAAGTTTTAGTTAGTTTTTTTTTTAATTCCGGGCGGACAGAGTCGCGGGCGACAGTTTGTTATCATTATAACATTGGCGAGTCCGCGTGTCTGTGTGCTTGTTTTGTTTTATAGAATACGTAGAAACTACGTGTCGTGTGTTACTTATTATCTGTAATTATCATAAGAATGATATTTATTAAGTTTTCTTGTTGTAGTTTTTTTATTTAATTTAGATAGTAGAAATAATTGAAACTTGTGGTTTATGTTATAAAGCATCCTATATTAATTTGATTTTGATTAATTAAAATAAGTGGCGATTAACACAAATTTTAATAAAAAAGTTTACTAGATTTTAAGAAATTTAAATTGCCCTTAGTATAATATAATTATAGCCCGTCTAAAAAATTTACATGTCACTTTATTTTCGTACAAGTGTTATTAAATATTACTGGATAATACAATTTTTTATTATTCTATTTATTATATATGTATTTATGTTAAACAGCTATCAGCTATTTTCTTATATAGAGGTCATTGTCAAGATACATCTTACATAACTTATATGCAAAGAAAAACAAACGGCTTGAAGAAAACATATTACATAACGTAATGACGTTATTAGAATTGTGTGCATTAGAGTATAACTGAGAGTTGCCACTGTCAAAAAAATGTATAATACAAAATCATATTTCACCTTTGTTTTCTCAAAGAGAATAATCCCCTGTATTGACAATATGTTTTTGTTTTTAATTTAATCAGTGTAAAGCCACAATTTTAATGTAAATATTTACCTTGCTATTAACCAATTCCTTTGGCATGTTGCTGCGAAGATGCGTCGACTGAAGCACTGAGTGTCACAAACAACAAAGAAATGTCCTCGATATTAAGCCACCACGTCTTTTCTATGAATTGCCCACAATAAAATCCTTTATCTGTGCTGTTACCACAATATAATCTTTATCTAAATTAAGACCGGAATTGCCGCTATGGCCACGTTCATATCAAGAATTATAATTGTAATGTTATCCTTCAGATGTTATTATATAAAGAGGTTTTATAACAATAATATTCACTTTTACGATGCGATAATGACGTTTTGTTCGCATGAGGTGGTCTATCATAAACTGAAAGAGAACTTTATTCGTTAGGTAACAACACGCAGCGGACGCTTTGGCTCAACCGCTATGCAACATTGGATGACACCCAACTATTCAAGTATACTGAAAGGTGCAATTTAAAAAAAAACTTCAATTACTAACAATAATATAAAAAAACTTAAGAAAGCTAATAATTTGTTGTTTCATCAGAAAATATAAAATTGAAATTTATTTTAATCACGTTAATAAAATAATCCCGTGCCTTAAAAAGGGGAAAGACATTAGGCCTTTTTATTATTAAAAAAAAACTGGGGAGAAAACTATTTAATAATTCACATCTTACCGCGACAAGATATCAAAAAACTTGTAACTCAGCGCGCGACTTGACTTATAATAAATAGGAAATAGTATTTGCTGCACTAATTAAAGCACGGCCTTTGCCTTGAGGTCGGGCTCTATCTCAAAGTGATAACAAAGGGCTTAACTCTCAGATCCATGCGTAATAAGCACAATTTAATTGCGATCTCTAGAAGATGCAGAAAACAGTAACAGCATACTGTAATTTTTAACTTATTATCCATTTCTATTATAAATAGGAAAGATTTGTTTTGTTTGCATTGAATAAACTTGATTATGTTAACCTGATTTGAAAGATTCTTTCACTGTTAGGAATCTATACTATCCCTGTGTGACGCATAGACAATATTTATTACTAGCTTTTTTTTTTAATTTCGTGCGAAGTTGCGTGCAACTGCCAGTAATTAAATAAATTTATGTAAGGAACCAATTTATTAACAAAGCGTTCCGATATTATCATAGTTGTCTTCGTAATATTATAACTTACTGGTATAAAACAAATCGCCAGTATAATTTATTGTACGGCAATAAACAGTTATATTTGCGCTAACTATCTAAATATATTTATGGTTTAACAACTACATATATTTTATAAAGTGGTAATAGATGATACTATATATTAGGGTTGTAATTACTGAGACAAAACTTGCATATTAATTAAATAAAATTCTTACGCTTTGTGGCATTATGTTTATCGTGTCTACTTCTTTCTTAAGTCTGTATACACCATAAATGAACAATTAATACTAAGGCTTCCCACTTATGTTTGGGTAAAAAAATGCCTCCAAGTCAAAATGATTTAAAGCGTAGTTAAAAGTTAATAGATTAGAAAAGTTTAAGTTAAATTATTATTTTGTTACACTTAGTTATGACTAGCTAAACATTTTAGTTGAATTTACAATATCAAGTATGAGTAGACGACGGCTTTATAAACCGCAAAAGTGTTCTGCGGTCGACGGCATTGTATCGAATTACATGTTGACATCCTTCTCATTCCCTTTGACAAGACAGAGATGACAATAGTTTCTGTATTTCATTGGAATCTCAGGGATAAGAATTCTGCCTCGTTTTTTTTAAATGAAGAATGTGTCATGTGATTATATGGCGCTTATTTATTGACAGGTAAAGTTACAGAATATTATATTACTAACTAGCTATCGCCGGCGACTCTTCCGCGCGGAATTAAAATACAAAACTTAATACCCTATATGTTCTTCCAGACTATGTTCTACATCTGTGGCAAATTTAATTAAGATCCGTTGATCCGTTCCGTAGATACCTAAACATTCGCATTTATAATATTAGTAATATTTGTAATTTTTTTTAAAAGAATATTGTACATACGAACGGATAAACATAAAAATCGACATAGATAAAGGTAATATGGAGACGAAATGCATAAATTTTAATTAAAAAAAATGCTTTAATTACGAATTACATTTGAATTTCGAACAATGTGCTACCACTATTAAAGTTTAAAATAATAGATAGTAGGCACTTAGATATAGCAAAATATTTTCCTCAACATACCTTTTCGAGATTGTACACGTAAGGTACATTACCGCGAAATAATACTTTGAAAGTATTTATAAACATAGATTAAAAATACATGTCTTGGAAAAGAAATTAACACGTCGAAAGTCTTTTGAAAATATTGTTACATAATTAGGAACCCAAAAGTTATCTAAATGAAGTTATAAATTGCTGTTGACAAGCTTGTTGTTTTTTTTATATAGTTTTTTTTTCTAACAATGTTAGTGAACAAATTGTTTTTTTTATCGCTGTAAGTATATGACACAATACGATGCATTGTTTGAGTCTCGATATAATGTATTTATACATATTTATTATGCCATAATTTACTTACATGTGAATCCCCTTTTCTGCCAATGACCATTATGAGCATTGATAAAATAATATAAATGCGTAAGTTTGGCAGAATCGATGTTTGTTGCAACATAACGTCTGAACTGATCGTGATGAAATTTGGAATAACAATCTGGGCATAGAGTATGGGTTACCTACGTAGTTTTTTTTTTTAATTTTACGTGGACGAAGTCACGGGCTGCAGCCAGTAATTGATAAAGGAAACGTCCTATCGTTTGACGTAGGATAATCATTTTAATTATATGTTTTACAACGATGAAGATTACTCTAATACAATATGTTTGCGTTGTTAGTATGTTAGTATATGCGACATAACTGATAAAGTTAATGTGCTGTCATTAGTGATACCACGTTTTCAAGCAAAAAAAACGAGGACGTTCGCGAAGTGCTCAATAATTTGCATAACAAAATAAAATGTTCCATTACTTTAGAATATAAGCATTCGAGCAAGTCATTGAATAAGACGTGTCTCTTCAATTATTTCATTTATTCTTAACATGTTATTATAATTTATTTTTTAAACTACGTTCATATTTTTTTGAAGAAATAGAATGTTGTTCATTTAGGATTTGTAGTAAAAGATCTAAAGATCTTATTTTATGAACTAACACTAGCTTTTTAACTTGAATGGAGTAAGGGATTATGTCAATCATAACTACTATGAAATAAGAAGCTAAGTAACCTGACAAAGTAAAAGTTTAGACTTTTCTTTGTAAAGTTGGTAGTTCGGAATTTAACTTCATTCTTATCTTCGAGATTATACGTCATACGAGTATATTATACATGTCATAGTTTTCTCTCGCCCTATATCTATTTGATATCTAGCTGTAATTTATTATTTATCTATATTATATTTAAAGCATGGTGTCCCTAACACCTACGTAGTGTAATGTACGCAGTGATAGATAGACGTCTTAGCCGCGGCACTTTCCATCAAAATATTGAATGACGTCTTTATTTAATTTGGATACTGAGCGTCTCTGAGCGTAGATACAAATAATTATAGCCGCGGATCAGCGAAAGATTTAGCGCGCGGAATGTTTATAGGTTATTTATTATTTATAGATTGATTGGCAAATATGAAAATCTTTTAATTGCTACAATTAGAGTTTCATATTATACTTATTTTATTATATCCCATTCTATGTGACTGGAAATTCTACTACATTAACATAAATACATTTAAATTACATATAAATCTCATTCATACAAATGTCAAACGGAAAACCTGTTGAGGATCTCGTGCAGGAAAGAGAATGAATATGATAAATAAATGGCAACAAAGTCGAAATAGTGCTTTAAAATAAGGAAATGTACAAATAACAAACAAAAATGGAGTGAATATACGAGTTATTTTGTATACAAGTAAGCGTCTTATGAAAACGTTGGTGACAATAATTTATACATTTTTCTTTTAAAACTGGCCGAATATACAATAAAAAATCTGCTTTTCAATAAGTTTTCTGTGAATAGTTTATGTTATTGTTGCAACAACTTGATTTGCCATTTCAATTAAACTTATATTGATTATTGATCGAAGCTAGATAATATATTAATCTCTATAACATTATTACAAGTTTTACAGATAAAGGTCAATGGAGGCATTTTTAATAAAAGAAACACGTTGTCGATTTTTGTTTATTCTATTTCTAGTAGCGACATCTACTGGAGGTCGTTACTTACAGATTAAGTTGCAAATTTGGTTCTTTTAAAAAGGACCCACAAGATGGCGCTTTGAAATAAAAATGTTTGAAGATTTGTCAACATTTAATTTTAAGGGAAGAATTTAGTGTTACACCTGCGTTGTTTAGGTAAATGAGTTTTAGTTGTACAACTTTGTAATTTCCAATAATTTGAGTAAATATTTGAAGTAGATAGCTTTTCGTTTAATCTATGTAGTTACTTATGATGACAACTAGATGTCGTTCAAATGTAAGCTGAAAGCATTTAATTTGCCGAAACATTTTTCACACAATTTTTATGTAAGTATGTTTTTTCTTTTAGTTAGGTTAATATTTTAGTTAGCTAAAACTAGAATTTTACATAATACTAACGGTATGCCCCGACTTCTGCCGTGTGATGAATCGAATAATAACTGGTTTTTCTTTATAAGTAACGTAAATAACGACAAGTAACGTAAGTAACATCATGTTTGCGAAATATCGATTTGTATAGACATAGATTTCATATGGCATGGTAAAAATGAAATCAGTAATATAAATAGTTTGTGGCATGGAATGTGTAGCTTCAGCGTGGGAAGTTGACCACAGTACAAATGACTAGTTAAATTAATTGAAGTTTGCCTCAAGATACGTCGCCGGCGCTGGCCTTGTCTCTGATATACACGCACGGGTCATAGGGTTAACTGATTGACAAAAATCAATGGTTCATAAAACTTAGTAGATTTTAATTTTATTTAATTTATAGTTCTTTACGGAGTTTGAAGGATGGGAGTGCAAGATTTTTTGGTTAAACAATATACACATTGAATCAGATTTTTTTCAAAAAAGTTAAATTTTAAGCTTATTTTCTTAACTAACCCACAGATATTAAATATACTAAAAATTTAATATTTCCAAATTTATCCAATAAGTAGGATTCATATATCCAATAAGTAGATTGCAGTTTTTAAATTAAAATTACATGATTATCGTAATCGTTACAATGAACAGGTAAGGTGTAAATGAGCGTAGCCGCGTAGAGGCGTAGCACGGCGAGACCGGGACCGGGTGCCCGCAGACCGCTTGCATTCAGTACGCGATTGACATTCGATGCGTGCGCGCACAACAACGTGCGTATACGCGCCTATTACGAACGTTATGATCTACGCGCGCGTAAACTTCGCTCAAAATTTTGACAGTTCGGGAAAATAATAAATATTATAACCTAGAAAATTTGTAAATTAAATATTACGCTGTCTTATTGTGAATTTGATATGATGATAGTTGTATCGTGACGGTGCGCGAGTGGGCCCGACAGCGAGCTGCGAGCATTGGGCACAATGAGCCTGCCGCTGAATTGGCACAAATGGCTAGTGTTGTCGTTGCTCGGATTGGCTTTGTCCGCTTGGCCAATTGCCTGCGATTATAGTTCCATCACCGAGAAATTTGGAGCGGAAGCCGTTGCTCGATGCAATGAAAAATGTCCCTTCCAGGTTTGCATTTATATAAAATACTTATTATTCATAAATTACGATTTGTATTCATAATTTATAAACAAAATAATACTTAATTGATGTCTTGTACATAGGAGTTCATTTGATAAAAGTTCATCTGTTATATTACTGGGAAATTCAATTTAGTTAACTTAGTTCCAATTAAATAACTTTGCTACTAGTATCTACGTTAACTTAACAAAAAACAATATGTAGCAACATTGTATATTATTTCAAAATAGCTAATAAAGTTAATATTGACAATAACAGATTGTTTACATTTGAACATCTCTCCAGACACAATATTCACATAAATTTTGCTTACTTATGTAGAACACATTTTAATAATATTGCAATTCATACAAATAATTTTAATCGCCTTTTTTAAATTACCCTACGATAATATTTTAACTCTAAAGGGACTGATTAAAGTCAAAAAGGTTACTAAGTGAAGTTAATTTTCCGAACGTAATCTAATTAACGCGAGGAATTTTAGTTTAACTCGGTGATAAACCAACAAAACGGATGAATTAAAATTAATTCAATGCTTTAAGTAGGAAACGAGCTCGGCAGCAGCGAGTAGGCCCACAATCACAATCGTAGCACAACTTGGAACTATTTTAACGTTTACATCTAATGTTCGTCGGTTTCTACTGCCGATTTATACTAAACATAGTAGCTTCCCTCATTCTCTCTATGTGTCGAAAAAATTGAGATAAGAAAATATGTGTAAATATATATTTTGGCAAAAGACACCGCAACATTGCATGAAATATATTAAAATTACATGGGATCGGAGGAAATTTCACAAACTAACTGTTGCCCGCGACTCCTTTCACGGTAATAAAAACTTAATACGTAACACATCTGTTCTTATAGACTATATTCTACATCTACACCAAATTTCATTAGGATCCATGTAGCCGTTCTACAGATAACTTCCATCAGACATTCTTTCGTCCATCTAAACATTAGCATTTATAATATAAATAAGTGAGACTAACTGTCGCCCGCGACTCTATCCGTGCAATTAAAAAGAAAACTTAAATAGTTGCCTATGTGTTCTTCCAGACTATATTCATTAATGCCAAATTTCATAAAGATCCATGCATGCCGTTCTACAGATACCTTCCAGCAGACATTCATCCATCCATCCAAACATTCGCATTTATAATATTAGTACACTCAGTAGATATGACAGCAGTAAATATAAATATGCAGTAATTAAATAAACGAGGTTATAGAATACAATAACAAAACAATCAATAATCACAACAAAAATGTTTATAACTTCAATTATCTTAATATATTATAATATGTCACTATTATTTATATTACTTCAGACCTATAAATATAGAGAAAAGATAATTGGTATATGGAAAGAGAAGTACCTACATAAATAGAAGCTGAACAGTACGAAGAACTAAAAATACATAGTTACTTATATATCGAAATTGATGTGTTACGGAAAGAGCGTAAACACACATAATGACAATAACAACATAGAAATAGAATAGTAAAAAGAAAGATATCTTCCTGAGGAAAAAACTTAACAGATTTTAAAATTACTTTCACTAACTTAAAAGCTTTTCTATCCATAGACAACATAAGGCTATTCAACGCTTAGGTTTGTTATTAACATCATAGCAAAGCTTAGACTGAGACGATTTTCTAGTAGATTATACGAGTGTTATTGATAAGTGAATGGTATTAGCGGGGCCGCGTGTCAATCGCATGCACGTCTTGTTTGCAGGCGCAAGTTCAACGCACATCTAATTGTCGGCAATTAGCCGGCCGCTGTAATCGACAACAGTGCTAAATATAGACCAAATGTTTCTACAACTTCGTCCCTCGCATTTATAACCACTTAATCCGCATCTTTACTTTTTACTTTTGGAAATATTGTCATCTCTAATTCTATCAAGGTAATAGGAACCTAGTATTAATGAATGTTCAATTATAATATCCAAATGTGCTTTAAAATCTGCGATAAGTTAATTACATGGAAATCTTCTTATTAATATTAAAAATGTGAATGTTTGAATGGATGGACGGATGGATGGACGGACGGATGGATGTTTGTTAGAAGGTATCTCAAGAAGGGCTCGACGCATCTCGATCAAATTTAACATGGATGTAGAACGCAAGATGGAAGCACATATGCTACTAGTCGTAGTCGTGAGCAACACTTAGTTAAATTCAACTTAAATTGAACCATAGATAAAAAGTAAAAACTTTCGTTTTCCTGTCTCTAGCCAAGAAAAACATAAAATTAAACGTATCATAGTATAAATTTATAGTATTATCACAATCATGTTGGGTTGGTTGTTATTTTTCTGTGAAAAAAGTCCCCAAAACGTGACCACAGGTTGCAGGTATCGTGTTTCGGAGGTGAGGCCATAGAGCTGGCGGGTTCCGGTCGCACGCTCGCAAAAAGTATCCAACGAGATACCGTCACGATGAAACTGATATTATGTGAATTAACAGTTTAACATAATTTATCTGTCACTTACCTAGTAGAACCACACATTAGAAAGGATCTAGAAAATTAATCGAACCAAAGTTATGCGTAAAAATTGTGCTTGGTATTAGAATAATACTTTAAGCTCAAACACTTCAAACAAGATTTCAATTTCAGTCGTAATGTTACGTTATTAGTAGACTGTATTTTTGCATATATTCATCCCATAGTATAATTAACATTAATAGAGCTCATACAGTTGTTTTTGTTACAAGGATTTGGGGGGAACAGTACAAAAGTAGCAGTGGCAGAATGCTTGATAGCTATTAACTATATAAATGTAGGACAATTGCAATGAAAAGAATTTTAATGTTTATGGTACTATGCTACTTCATTGGCAACATAGAGTAAAAAATCTGTTTTAATATTGTCTTTGAACTAGTCGATCAAATCAAGTCATCTTATCCAAATCGTTTAATAAAAAAATAGAATCAGATTTTCCAGTTTAAAAGCGTAGTTTTTTATGATGTTACGTGATTGCGACATCGGTGGCACGCTCCAGTGCGTGTGCGCTCGCCGGAAGTCATAGGGCACGGTGCGTCGCTGATTACACCGTAATATCCTCTCCCACCTCTAGAAAGTAACTTCCACCGCATATTAAAGCATACAAAAACTTATCCTGTCTTCTACTGATTGATATTTTTTGTTGCTTCCAGAATCGGACCGCTGATGGCCACTTCGACGTAAATTGCGGATCCGATTGCAGTGTGCAGCAAGTAAGTACATATAAATTTAACTTCAATTGTAATGTTTTTATAGTATAAGTTGGCAAAGGAACAAGTTATGTAATCGAAACATATCCACTAAAATGACAATTACGAACGAGTGGAAGGGAAGTAGAATGAGTATGTTAGAGCCTTTTAAAATCAAAATAAATAGGAAATATAGTCTGAATACATTCCCTTATTCCCTTTTTCGTAAAGTCGTACATCCATATCAGAACCGGACCATTTTACTGCTAGTTCGAAACTATTATCTTACTAATGTTATAAATGGGCATGTTTAGATGGATGGATGTTTGTTTGAAGGTATCTCCAGAACGACTTAATGTGTCTCGATTAAATTTGGCATAAATATAGAACATAGTCTGGAAGAACACATAGGATATTATTATTTTTTTTCAAATTCCGCGCGGATAAAGTCACGTGTGACAACTAGTAGAGCATAAAATTCATTGAAACCAGTGTACTAAGATTTAGTAAATTGTTATTTCTTAACATTTGCTTATATTTTTTCTAATGTAGCCAACATTATCAAAACGTTGTCAACGTTAAAAGTTTACGCATACGCAAGTCACGATCGTAAAATCTGTTGAAGCGATAAGTACTTTTTATTATTTATTTTTATTGAAAATTGCTCTACAATATGTTTACGATTATTGAACGGAAATTGAAGAACACACACAGCACACTTTTAAACGCTCACTAATGCAAGACTTTTTCCAAAAGTTACGATGGTATTTTTATTCATGGATGTTATCATTTACTGGGTTTGTATAGTTAGGAAGATAATCCGACACTGTGCCGGTGTACTGGCGCAACACTAGCCTCATTTTGTCAACGTTTATGTCCCCTCACTAATCAATCTGACACTTGACTTGGAACGAAAACGCGCCATTCAAGCTAAAGGATTCTAACTAATAATGTCTAAAAATATGTAAGTCTATCTCACTATGAACTATCGTCAATACAATCAGTCTAATTTTGGAGTGTTAAAAGGCTACAGACAGACTGACATTATATATAACGAGTTAAAATTAAACACAATTGAAAGAAAGCTTTTTAAATTGAAATAACTCGTTGTTGATATGTCGATATGGAATATTATTCTTATACATTTTGATATGACAAAGTATAACCGGTGAGGCTACCGTCGAAAATAATTATCAAAGTTTGTAATTACCGTTTGATAACTGAGCGTCACCACTCAACCTATGGCCCAGTTACAGCGATATAGACCACTTAATGAATACTATATTAAAACAATCGATAATAACATTAAAACAGAGATTAACAGCGCACAAACGATCTTGGATACAATGTTGCAAGACTTTATAACAGAAAACTGCACAAATACTAGCGGTCGCCCGCGACATCGTCCGCGCGGAATTAAAATAAAAAACATAATTAGTAGCCGATGTGTCCACTCAGACTATGTTTTATATTATGCCAAATTGCATCGAGATCCGTTCAGCCGTTCTCACATCCATCCATCCATCTAAACATTCGCATTTATAATACAAGTAAACAGTAAGATTTAAACCTCCTTTTCCTTGTAACTAACTGTATTATAAATATGTCAGGTAAATTACAGCAACAAAACTTACATTAAGATTATATGCGTAATCATAGTATGGAGGTTGATAGACAAAGTTTATTCTTAAAACTTTTAAAATAAAAAGCTTTTAAACAACTTACTGACCAGTTTGATAATGCTTTGGTAATTCAAATTTTAAGTCTATTTCCAAACAAATCAAAATAGGTCATCCAGGTTTGCTAGTACTTTGAAACTGGTTGAAATTGAAACAGAGCGAGACATATTACTTACTCCAGGTTTTGAGTTTGTATAGTATTTTGTAATCTTATATTGCAGACGAAAATGTAGTTTTTTGTAGTATAAACTAAGAAATAGAATTTCTATGGCATCCCAACCACAGCGTATCTTTTTGTCGTAGATCTTGTAATCAGATAGATTGATACATGATATCTTACCATAGCAAAAAGATAGTATTTTAAGATCAAATCAACAAAAAATTAAAGAGTTTTATAGGAAAAGACACACGAGAAGAAAATAAAATGCAACGAAAATAATATTAAACATAATTTATTTGTTTAGTGTTGCCAGTCCGTATTATTTTATTGGGCTTTAAATACTAAAAGGGATATTATTTCCAATTATTAGTATTTTCATGTATTATTGTAACCCGCGATAAACTACAAAACGTTATCCTCTTGAATTTTACGAGTTAGAGAGAATTTCACTAAAATGTTCATGTTATCCATCATTCATGACCATAGACTGACATAAAACGGCTCTTTCCCGCCAACTTTGACAGTTACTACTGGTTAATGTCAAAATTATCTGTGCGGTCCAATTTACGCCCCTGCGTCCTGTGCAGGCGCAAAAACCCTTAAGTGGAGAAACTGTGTGCATACAAAATGCTACTGCACTCGTATGACCATATTTTTAAAAATGGCGGACAAGTAAAGATTTTATTAGTTATCTTATTATTCTTTACTGAATATACAAAGATAAAGAAAAGAAGTGATTACAAATGATCAGTTTTTTGTGCCATTTTTATTATCTTGTTTAATTTGTATTTTTTGCCTTCCCTATTCTAAACAATATAAAATTTTACGGCGCCAAATTATCATTTAATGTTTTATAAATAAAGTTATAAAATCTTAATCGCAATTTTTTAGAGACTTGTTGATAATATTGTCATACTCTTACAATTATTTGCTAACGTATAATTGATAATGTGTGTTTAAAAAAATCATGCAAAAAAACAAAACAAAATTATGGACACTGCCAGCTTGCAAGTGGGGGTGGTCAATTGAGTTGTTTCTCTTGACTTTTGGACAGACAATTTGTGTTCCATTGTAAATCATAATATATTGATTATAGTCAATTTTATTTACATTATATTCTCATATTCAAGAATATTTAAATGACGACACTGCAATTACATAACGGCATATTACGGATAAATGTGTACAGAAACTTTAACGCCTTTAACTATCCTGCAAAGTATCAAACAAATTTGTTAAATAAATTCTCAAACCGTACGTAGAAATTGGATAAAATAAGGTATAGAAAGACTATTCTTTATTGGGCCCTGCTTTTTGCTCATCCGAAAATGCCACTTCAAATTAAACCGAGAGACAATTATCATAAAAATACAACGAAATCACTTAACCTATAGCATTGGATGCTTGTTTGCTTGTGTTCCGAAAAATATACTCTATTTTTATAAAACAGACTTAAGTAAACTAACGTTGAACGTTGTTTAGCTGTTCTTTATTCCATCAGTCACCACTTCAGGCGAGGTGCAATGGTGGCGGTTGCATTCGCTTTAATTTCATAGACACCTCGTTCCTTCTTATCCAAATACGTTTGTTTCCTGTTAATATTCTTCAACAGTTAATATATTACTCGTAATGTTTTAAGTTAAACTTTTTGTAACCGGAACAACATTTTACTTTTCAGTTTACATCCTTACTAAAAACGAATTGAACCAATGTACATACTAAATAGGAAATAAAAAATTACATTCTTCACCCTTTCCTTATCTTATTCACGTAGAGTTGGCGCAACAAGTTTTTGTCCTCTAGATCCATCTGTTTTCGGCTTGATCTTAGTACTAGGCCTACCGGTGTGCCATTTAACATTCATAATTAAATTACATATAAAATCGATAAATATACGTTTATTTGAGGATTTTTTGACGGGGTTGTTAATTTATATTTATAAACTCTTCTCATCCATAAGCAATTTACAGCTCTATCCAGTTCCCTTTAACATGGCGAGTTTGTTAGGAAGTACTTTGATGGATCGGAAGTGTTTTGGGATACACGAAGTCTAGGAAGCCCGATGGTCATCCAGCGTGTCGTGGGGCTCGGCAGGTCGTTGAGGGGTTTTGGGCGCGGGAGGCGTGGGAGCCGCCGTCGGGCGGACGCAGGAAGGAAGCTGCTAGTTGCCGCCCCCCTCTGTCTATTTTAGAGTTCACTCGTTTTATTCCGACGTTTTGTACAACATACACTAGGGTTAAAGTCTCCTTCAACCGACATAAGTAGTCCGCGCACCCATGGGGGAGCGAAATTTTTACAAGGCTCAATTTGTATTAATATCAAAGACCGGCCAGCGGAAGTTTAATATTGCTTATAATCTCCACTGTCGTTGGGGGTTATGTTAAACTTCACGTTAATATAGATTTGTGTTTTAAACAATAAAATAAGTACTTACTTGCTCTGCTTGCTTAATCGAATACTACTTTTAAAAAGGGGTATAAGAATGTTATTATCTTTATAATTAAAACGTTAATGTTTCGAATATATGATGCGTTACACCTGTCATTAAATGATAGTAGTCTCGCACCATAACGTTTGGGTAGAGTCGGCGGTGTAGAGTAGAGGAACGCCGCGCTTCGTTGCCCGCCATCGGAACTCGACAATTGCTTTGTCGGAAGTAAACCGCTACACCGTTTTAAATTATATTTAAAATTTATGTGAGAAACTAATAAATTATTCCACTTAATTTAATGAACCGGCATTTATTAATAATAATACAAAAATAGTTTTAACGTTGAAATTTGTCTGATATTAGGAGATTCAGAAATATACAGTAACTGCGAAGTTACAATTGAAAAAATAAAAGGAACCAATAATAAAAGATTTTTTTATATTTTGCTACAAACATTTTAATTTGTTATTTTTACTGGAATTACATGTTAGTAAGTAACATTTGCTTTATTTAAAACAAGTATTCTTAAGAATGTAGATCAGATAGAGCGAAGTAAAAGAAACTGATTGGGAAAGCTCACTCCGCCATCTTGTGGGATGCAAGCTAGGCAAAGAGAGGGATAAATGTAGATTTAAGCAAACTAACACGTGGGAATATTGTTATTAACCCTATTTATCGTATTCAGATATCGGTGTAATTTATTCAAGAAGTCAGTAGAGCAAAACTACCAAAACAAAACTGAATGTGTTACGAA